ATATATACTTAATTAAATATTAGTATTTATTAATACATTTAAGTTATTAGTATTACATTTTAGGGTATACCCTGTATATATATATATATAACTTGTAATATTAAAATGCTGAATAGATTCTAATCTACAAAGTTATTATTACTAAAATTCTATTATAAGCTTCACCCTTGAATAATGAAAATATTATATGACTATTTGGTTGTCAATATAATATTGCATTTTAAATTCAATTTTAAACATTTGGATTTTCATACAGAAATAATTTAACAAGTTTCACTTAATAATTTGCATACCTTAGAAAATAAAATATTACATTGTATTCTCTTTGTATTTGATTATTTGATGTTAAAAACTTTTAGTGCTGAGTGCAGTTTTATAAGTCATTTCAAATTTTACAGAGAAGGGAGAGAGGTAGATTACGTGTGCATCACTTGAACAATGTTGGCCGTGCCTTACAAGTGCTGGAAGAAAATGGTGTATGTAAACTTTTATTTCTCTTCTTTTCTTACCAATCTATTTTGTGTTAATTTTTTAGTCTGTCAAGGAGCTTTGTCTGAAGTTACTTTAAAATGAATTTTAAGCTCTATGAATATTTCAATACACGGTACATTTATTTACTTAAACATTCAAATAATATCTGCAGTTTAAACATATCAGAAAAGATGACGTATTGTTTAGGTTTCAATCCAAATGTCTAATTAACAAAGTTTCCGTTTTTGCAACAGTCCTTCATTCTCTGCTGAGTGGAAGTCAGTTGCAAGGTGTCCCATTATATACGATTCAAATAGTGTACCATGGAACCAATATACAAAAGATTCATGTAAATTTATGAACAACATATACCCACTGTAGTGTTGAAATCAAATCTTTAACCTAGAAAAACACCTTCATTATTGAGGTTTCAAGATGAATTTCAACAAAATCTGTTAATATGAAGATTTTGAAATGTTGAATACATTTGTCTTTACTTTATAACTTAAAAAACCTATAAATGGTGAGATTATTGTTAGATATAATTTATGTACATCAAACACTAGTGCTTAAGTTGTGTCAATACTTCGTAGGAAGTTTTTCACAATCTTGCTATAAAGTTTTCAGGAAAATGGTTCTTGGGATAATTCTTCACATTATCAAGTTCTGGATAGAATGCCAGTTTTTTTTTTACTTATTTTAGTAGCTTTATGAACCAAAAATCTTTTTGAAAACAGAAGGTGTGAAATTTCTCTAATCAATATACAAACCTGACTGAAAAAGCTGGTTACTGATAATAAGTTAACAATAGCTTTGTCTCATGATTTAAAATTTTAAGGTCTAAAAATGGTAATGCAGAATCTGGGAAAGTAGAAAACTATCCCAACCCAACATGTGTAAGAGTGTAGAAGTCCGTCTGAAACAACTGGGAATGTAAATATTCATCTGTACCCATCATGCTTAAGAGTGTAAACAAATTTTTTTGATATTTTTATTTTTCTCCACTTTAAAATTCTTTCAGAATGAAGCATGCATTATTTTATTTGAATTTTTGCACATCATTCTCAGCTCATGTTACTGATTACCTGTGTTTGAGTAAAGGAGGAATTATTGTGTCAAGTTACAAAACAGTTGAATAACTGCATGTGACATACCATTACAATAACAGTCCAAAGTTAAAAGAATTTTACTATTAAGGAATAAAGAGAAGTAATATTTATATACTGATTTAATGTGTAGGGATAAGTATTTGTTCTGAAAATTATACTATGTGTTCTATTTTTATCCAAATGTATTTCAATGTACTTTTTTTCCTCCCCCATGGAATTAAGCTTTGATCCTAGTTGGTGAAATTAGTGTAAAGAATAATTTTCCATAAATTTGTACAGTCAGTTTACTGAATAAGACAAACTTTGTTTTTGGAAGTATTATGGTGTGCTTTTTTTTTAAACAATTAAAATTTCTTCATACAAAAATGTTTACGTTTCCAGGAATTAAATTATTTTTATACAATAATAAAAAAAAATTGGAGACATTGTTTTATTTAATACACTAGGATAGTTAACATTTTATTATTTCTTCTGACATACTTTTTTCTTTTACACATTATAAAAGTGAAATTTAATGTATTTTGAGACATCTTGACTTGAAAATTGCCTATGAACAATTTAAATATTAACAGGGAATTGGAATGTTAGAAAATCCCTTCCTCTCAATCCTTGATATTTTTGAATAGAGTTTATTATGCTAGGTCTTTTATCTTATTATGGTCAACAGTCCATTACTAAGCATCCAATCCTAATAGATTTAATTTGACTAATTTGGTATCCATTATATTTGAAAGACTTTTAACTATCAACAGTTACCAGTAAGTTATGAAAAACAATATAGCTTTTAAATCTTCAGAGCTTTGAAAGCTTAAATGTAAATTAAGCATAAATATTTACCATGAAAGTCCATTAAGATTCCTCTTGGTATTAAGATTTACCATGAAAGTCCATTTAGATTCCTTCTGGTATTAAGATTTACCAACTAGGTCCATTCTAGATTCCTCTTAGTATTAAGATTTACCATGTAGATCCGTCTAGATTGCTCTTGGTATTAAGATTTACCATGCAAGTCCATCTAGGTTCCTCCTGGTTTAAAGATTTACCATGTAGGTCCATCAAGATTTCTCCTGGTATTAAGATTTACCATGTAAGTCCATCTAGATTCTTCCTGGTATTAAGATTTACCATGTAAGTCCATCTATATTCCTCCTGGTATTAAGATTGACCATGTAAGTCCATCTATATTCCTCCTGGTATTAAGATTTATCATGTAAGTCCATTCTAGATTCCTCTTGGTATTAAGATTTATCATGCAAGTCCATCTAGGTTCCTCCTGGTATTAAGATTTACCATGTAAGTCCATTCTAGATTCCTCCTGTTTTAAGATTTACCATGTAGGTCCATTCTAAATTCCTCTTGGTATTAAGATTTACCATGTAGGTCCATCAATATTTCTCTTGGTATTAAGCAGGTAAGGTTTTAAGCTTATATGGTTTGTGCCCTGGCCCATGTACTCATTTTATTACAATAATAAATCACGTGGTTGCTTTTTATTAATAAAAATATATAATGTAATACAGGAGATCCCACTGTAAACAAATCAGGTATAATACTAGTACTTAATTTTGAAGTATTAGAATAAAGTCACATGTGTAAAGAGCTCTGTACATAATTTGTAATTATGACAAGTTATGCACAGTACGGGTATATCAGTTTATGTTTATCATATCAGATTCTGAGAAACTAAGTAACAGAATATTTTCAAGCTAGTTAACTCATAATGAAGTGTTTCATTCAGAGTCTCATAACTGTCCTTGTGTATATATTATAACTAAAATTTCTTATAGTAACTTAATAATACTGTAGGATTTTTTTTTGTTTCAGATAAAACTTGTAAATATTAGTACCAATGATATTGTGGATGGCAACCCAAAACTGACATTAGGACTTGTGTGGAGCATTATATTACACTGGCAGGTGGGTTTTTAGAAGGCATTGAGCGAAAACTGATCAGCATTTATTTATTGCTGGTTCATCATGATACTTTCTCAGTAATCAAGCATGCTACAACTGTATACTGTGCAAAATCTAATATAAGTGGTTTAATGAAATACTCAGTATGTAAGCTAATGTCAATTTTGAACTGTAATATAGGTAACTCGAAGAGTTGTTTTTCTAATTATTGGTTATAATAAACATAATGAAAACATTATAATACTAGTTTTACATAAGATTTATTATTACACTAATAGTATCATAGCCATGTCTAAGAAAGCCAACTTGCTACTTTTTAATTGAAGACTTGTAACTATTTCCATGTGCTGGATTTGATCCCAGAGCCACTTGCCTGCACAAGGTGAATCCTTTGCCAACTGATCTAAAGGGTTATCACACTAGCTATAGTTAGCAAGGCATTTTTTGACAACTTAAACTACCACATTCTTCCCCTCTCGGCCAAGACGTATCTTCATGCCTTACCCGTTGGTCATGAAATGTCCACTAGTTGGGTGCCAGTTATTTGTTGAGCAAGATTTCAACCTGGAACCTTTCACATACCAGTGGAGATCTCTAAAATCTTCGCTAGAAGGTTAAATCTCTCGCATTTGCTAGTGAGGCACTTTTTTTCTAAAAGTTTCAACTACTAAAAATACTATTTCTTTTCGTGTATTTGTTTATAAGCTGTTTAAATAATAAATATATACATATCACTCATGATCACTTAACAAATTATTTTAGCACTGAATTTTGTAATGTTTTTTAATGCAACTGATGATGTATTGTTAAACAGCTATTTATTTTGATATGGAGTCATTAAACTTTTCATTATATAGGTGACTGACTCATAGACCTTAATGAAGATCTGTGTGTATCCAGTAAAAAAACAAAAAACAACAACTTAAATTTATCTTTGTACAATAAGAAATGTTTTTTATTTCACACAGTAAGGTCAAAGTATGTGTGTGTGTGTGTGTGTTACAACCCTTTGCAGAGTTACATTCAGATTTAATTAAACTTTATTCTCAATTTGCATCAATAAACTTGAGATCAAAAATATAGTTTATAATTAATATTCTCCTTATAGATTTTATAGCTTCCCTAATACAGCTCTCGGAGTATCCAAGCAATTAGAAACACAAGCTCTACATAATCATAAGCAAGAATACAAAATTTGAACTTCTTACCTTTCAGTTTGCTGAGCTATCGATAAATTTGTCAAACCCACCAAAGAAGTTCCATCCCATCTGTTTCGGTTTTCAAGACAAGTATATAATTATTTTTGTAAATTGTTGATAGACTTTTTTATAACCAATAGAAAGAGCAATTTCTCCTTTACATGAATTTTTATTACCCATTGTTTACTTTTAACATAACATAATATTTTGGGACAACATGGGAAAGTACCTGAAAAGAAGAAGAGCTTGACTTGTGTTGAGCAAAGTCGTTGCTTTGAGCAGTATTTTAATTCTTTTAAATTATTCATAGCATATTTAGAAAGTTGTAAATTGTAATAGTTTTGGGACATTCTGCTCTAGTGACTAATATTTTCAGATACGGTACATTACCTTCTCTCACATTGATAACTATTCTTGTTCAGTGCTGCCCTCTATATGATTTTTTTTTCGCATGCCACAAGCCTTGAGCTTCTATGTACCTTACAATCAACTGGTTCAAATGCATCTTGCATGTAAATCATCATGCAACAACCCTCCACCAATAAGAGTATGACACACACTCCTGATGCAAGTGACTCCCTCTATTTGATTCAACCAAACTATCACTATGACTTTCCATCATAACTAAGTATTCTGAAGAAATAGTATAGAAATCACATAGTTACGTGTACTAAAATGTACCAGAAAGCAACCATTACCTTTAAAGTTAAAAAAAAAAAAAAGTCACCCTCACCTATTTGATATGGCTTCTACCATACAAAGTTCTAGTACTTGAATTAAGGAGAAATTCCATTTACATTGTTAACCTCTCTCGCTGTATCATGCTATAGTGCCTACTATGTATCTCTTTGTATGAGTTATGCCATAGAATATACTAATCTCCATGCCCTATACCTCCACACTGGTGTATTTGCTCTGTCTACACGGAGTACATCCAAGAGAATCCCCAAGTTTTCTGGTGGTTATATGTTGTGTAGATTGCATGATTACTAGTCAAACTTCTTATTCAACTTTACACGTTACAATGTTATAACATGTTAATTAAATTGATAATAAAATTGAATTAAAAGATAATTTCCAATTGTTTGTAATATGATAATAAAATTTGGGGTATAAACAGACTCATCTCTGTGCATTCTAAAGATCATTTTAGTTTTGAAATTTGAAGTTTATTAAACAACTTTAATTATTACATTATTTTATTTTATTTTTTTATCATTTAGGGGACCGTTTGTGTTACAGTAATAAATATTCTTCTTTTTTCCCCAGAAGCTAAAAGAATCAAGTCCACTTAAAAATATGTTTCTCTGATAGGTCCATGGAGTTTTGAAGAATGCCAGCCATGAAATTCATCAAACAAACCTAGAAAAGACATTATTAGCATGGTGCAGAGATGCTACCAAGGGGTGAGTCCAGTTTTGTACCCACAGATTGAGAAGACTTTATATACATCAGATTAAAACTAACTTCAAAACCAAGTGATTTCTTTAATCAGGGCATTAACAACCTGATTGTAAGATGGAAAGAATGGATAAGAATAAGATAAGAATGGAGACTATTTTATTTAATAAATGTTTTGTTTTGATATATAAGTTGTTCGGGTTTTTTCATCTAAAACAAAAGTGACAATTTTGTGACAACCTAATATTTTAAAATGTTTAATAGCGTTATTGTATTTTTCTTTTAATATTTGTATGTAGCTCAGTTATAAAGTAATACAGTATTTTGTGTTCAGGCTTTCAAATTAAAGGGACATTTTAAATAATAGTATTTCTTGGTAGCTGATGAGAGTTGATCAGTGCCTTTTACAATAATGACTTAATCCTTATTGTTTTGCCTTTTTATTTATTTATTTAATAGTTACAGTGGCGTAGACATCAGGAACTTCACAACAAGTTGGAGTGATGGATTAGCATTCAATGCTTTAATTCATAAATTTAGGTAAAATGATTGCTTTAACTAAAAGTTAGTAAAGATTGAAAAATATAATAGTTCATAAATATGCCTTATGTAATACTTTCTTATGAAATAATGTAAGGTTTAGTAATGTGTGAACCGAATGATCAGTGTACAAGTGCTGACAAGGTGATGAATTGAAGTTTTTAAACAATATCCGGACCTTTTAAAAAACATTTGAAATTGATCTGGTTATAAAGCCCTGTTTGAACATCTGTGTTATATTAAGGCAAGTAAAATACATAAGTATATGTGTGTGTTTTTATCCATGTAAAATTATATCATTGGAATAATTTATCCTAGTAATCAAAAAAACCTTTTAAATCTAAGGATCCAAAAGCAATAACATTTGAAAATGTTGTATCTATAAAGCCTAGATTTTGCATGTCACTAGAACTAGTAATTTGTAGGCCTATCACTCCTGTCAAAATGTCAAACTTAAGTCAATTTGCAGGAATGGTTATGTAACACTTAGGTGGAAGTAATAATGTTCTTAAATTGGTTAAATAAATGGTTCTGTGAGTTCATACAGTTGATATATATATATATATATATATATATTGTTAATGTTTTATAGACCAAACCTTTTTGACTATGGAGGTTTGATGAGAAAAGATGTCATCACTAGATTAGAACATGCCTTTCACATAGCACATCAGTATTTGGGAATTGATAAACTTTTAGACCCTGAAGGTAGGTTTAATGTGAAAGTCTGTAAAAAGCTGAAAATGTTAATAGTTTTTATTGTACTTTGTTGTTGCTTTTTGTTCAAGTTTATACATAATAAAGCATCACAAGAATAAAAAAAAAATTCAAGGTTAGCTTGAATCTAAATTATCAATATGATAAGGTATCACAGTAAGCTCACAGGTTATTAAGATATAGTAACAAAATTGCTGATTCATTTACTAGATGTATTATTAGGTATTTCAAATAAATAAGACACTTTTTTATTTCATTGAGATACAGAAATTTAATACTGTATTTTAAGGGCATTATGTCTAGAATGTCATTCCCAGAATAGTTAATTAGGATAATGCAGGAATAAGTTTTTGCAAAAATTGTTATTATGTTTTTTATTGTTTTTTTTCAATTCATTGTATCATGATCTAGTTAAATTTTAATTGATAGTATTGTTTTAATACATTGGTTTGAAAACACATTTGATGAAAATTTTATTTTGAAAGATTTCAAGCTCTCTCAAAACATGTTTTATTATACTTTATAATTTTAACTTTATACCTCTTTCTTTATTTTTTTTATCCAAGATTTCTGTGTATCACATTGACTTCTACCTTATGTTTTTGTTTTCTTGTTTTATTTTGTGAGCAAACTTTTCATGCAAGCTTTTGTATTTAAACCATTATTACCCAAGAAAGCCTTGAGGACCAACATCAGAAGATGATAAATGTGTAATGTCATATTCTTTATTAATTCATTGAACATGCATTTCTGAAATATTGTCAGTGTAGTTTCTTAAATACAGACTTCACTCACAGTTGTAGTTTGTGTGAATTATCTGTTCTTCAAAATAGCCCATTTCTACTAAATTTTGTTCCCACTTACCCTTGTTTTTTCCCTAAGTTATGTAGGCTGTTCGGGAATCAGGGTATAAATTGTGTAGTAAATCTGATGATTCAAGTGATTTATTATTATTTTTCACAGATGTGAGCACTACACGGCCAGACAAAAAGTCTGTGATGATGTATGTCATGTGCTTTTTTCAAGCATTGCCCCATGAAAACATTCCATTTAGGAGACTTGAATCAGTGGATTTGTCTGATTCTGTAAGTATTATGTTATTTTTGTAGTCTGGTTAGATGTTAATAATTAAAAAATATGGATTTTCCCTTATCAGGTCAAGAATAAAATGTTGTTGTTGGAAATCTACAAAATGTTGAATTCGAAATAAAGATTGTAATTGACATTTTGATACCTGTAAAAAGTAGAAAGATTTATTAGTGTAAAAATGATCAAATATACATGTTTAGTACACACTAACAGTCACCTTACAACATGTAAACTCCTGCATTGAAGTTCTGCATCTGGTGATGCAAGCAGGTTTCTGATTGTTCATTTTAAAAGTCAGTAATATATTTAGCACTTAATTCTAATTATCTACTATTGATTTTCTTGAGGGAGGACTTTACAAACTTTCCATTCTAAAAACCTTTCAACAGAATACAAGCATTTTGCATTCAGTTTTGATTGCATATTTTAATTTTGTTTGTCTTGGTTTATTAAATTTTTGGAAAT